AGGAGAGCAAAGTGGTTTTACTTGACCTCGTTCTCTGGACGATTAGGGTTCACTTCTTAATTAAGTCCACTACTAATCAGATCACCCATTGCTTTCCCACGAGGAGGAGAGGTTTTATTTGGTTTCCTAATAATAAGGGACTGAGAATCCACAGGGAGCTGACTGTGGAGCAGGAGAAGTCAAAAGCTTCTGTCTCTGAATTGGAAAAGGACACCGGGGAACACTGCTCCTCCCTCCAGAGTCAAAGCCGAGGGGCTCAGCAAGCGGATGCGTTGGCGCTGCTCCTGTGTGTTCTGAACAGATACGACATTATCTGTTCACCGAAGAATTACAGTAGGAATGAGAACTTTGGGATACAAATCAAACCTCATGAGTTTGGACTAGCTGGGGAAAAGATGGGAAAAGAGAGGAATTCATTAGGCATTTAAACTGTTTTTCTCTATAAAACCTCATATATGTGCATACACACATATATCCATACACACACGAACATAGATATATACATATATACACATATAAATGTATATAGAATAGGTTATTCCTTTGGGTATATATATATATTAGCAAGCCCTCTTCAGTTAAATGTCAATGGATATGTACATTTAGGAGTGGTGACAGTTTTTTCCCATTTTCATTATTTATTATTATTTTAATTGTATATATTTATATGGCATGTTGTAATAATTCAATATACACATGCAAGGCATAATGATCCAATCAGGCTAAAAGTTTTGCTTAATGTGTAAATATTTATGAGGAACAGCATGACATGTATACAATATGTACTGATCAAATGAGATAATTTTTCTGTCTCCTTATCCTTACTTTGTGTTTGGAATCTTTGAAATATTCTCTTCTAATTACTTAAAAAATATATCATAAGTGGTTGTGAATTATACTCACTCCGCTGTGCTTTAGAACACTAGAACTTGTTTCTTCTATCTGTGTTTTTGTACCTGTTATCCCACCTCCCCCATCCCCCTTCCCTATACCCTCTGGTAAATGATTCTTCACTTAAGTCAACATTTTTAGCATCCACACACGAGAAAGAATGTGTGGTATTTGTGTTTGGATGCTGGACTTATTTTATTTAACATTTAACATATTCCTCCAGTTCCATTCATTTTTCTGTAAATGATAGATACCATTCTTATCATGAATACTGTTTTGAATAATATTCCATTATATTTCAGTTTTTCTGTCCATTCACCCATTGATTGACATTTAGGTTGATTCCATATCTTGTTAACTTGACCAAATTTCAGTTAAGTTTCTCCATTCCCTGAAGGGCGCTGAACTTTGACTTGCCCACAGGTTAAACAAACATTGGAACACAAAACACTCTCCCAGCTAACCTCAAGGAAAGGGACTTTCTGCTGAAAGGCTTGGTCACAGTGCCATACTTGATTCTTTTTTTTTTCTTTTTAATTTTTAGTTGTAGATGGACATAATATCTTTATTTTATTTATTTATGTGATGTGATGCTGAGGATCAAACCCAGAGCCCCACACATGCAAGGCAAATGCTCTACCACTGATTCACAACCCCAGCCCACCATATTTCATTCTTTCTAGACTTGTTAACTACTTTCTATTAGGAAGAATTTCTAGAAGCCGGACATGTGCAGATCTTATGGTCAAGGTGTTCCCCAATTGCAACAATCTTTTTGAGATGTAATGTTAGGTTGGTCGTTTATTTGTTGACTTTTTATTTTTTTAATGAATGAGCTCAGTGCAATGAACTTTCCTCTTAACACTGCCTTCATAGTGTCCCAGAGATTTTGATATGTTGTATCAGAGTTCTCATTTACCTCGAAGAAATATTTTTATCTCCTCCCTGATGTCTTTTGTTATCCATGCGTCATTCAATAGCATTTTATTTAGTTTCCAGGAGTTGGAGTAGATTCTATTTTTTATTTTATCATTGATTTCTAATTTCATTCCATTATGTCTGATAGAATACAGGGTAGTATCTCCTCTTTATTTTTTATTTTTTTGTATTTGCTAAGACTTGCTTTGTGGCATAACATATGGTCTATTTTACAGAAGGTTCATGTGCTGCTGAGAAAAAAGTGTATTCACCTGTTGATGGATGAAATATTCTGTATATGTCTGTTAAGTTTAAATTATTGATTGTATTATTGAGTTCTTTGGTTTCTTTGTTTAGTTTTTATTCAGAAGATCTGGCCGGTAGCTAAAGAAGTGTGTTAAAGTCACCTGGTATTATTGTGTTGTGGTCTATTTGATTCTTGAAATTTAGAAGAGTGAGTTTGATATACATGGATGCTCCATTGCTCAGGGCATAGATATTTATGATTGTTATATCTTGTTGATGTATGATTACCTTAAGCAGTATGAAATGACCTTCTTTATCCCTTCAGACTATTTTCAGTTTGAAGTCCACTTTATCTGATATGAGGATGGAAACCCCTGTTTGTTTACTGGATCCATGTGAGTGGTATGTTTTCTCCCATCCTTTCACCTTCATCTGTGGATGTCTTTTCCTGAGTCTCTTGAAGGCAGCAGATTGTTGGTTTTTTTTTTTTTTTTTAATCCAACCTGCCAGTCTGTGTCTTTTAATTGATGCATTTAGGCCATTAACATTCAGGGTTATTATTGAAACATGGTTTGTATTCCTGGTCATTTTGGTTTATTTTTGGTTTTTAACTTGACTTGGTTTCTTCTTTGATTGGCTTTTCCTTTAGTGTAGTTCCTCCCTTTGCTGATTTTTCATTGTTGTTTTTCGTTTTCTCCTCATAGAATATTTTGCCGAGAATGTTCTGCAGTGCAGGCTTTCTTGCTGTAAATTCTTTTTTAAAAATATTTTATTTTATTTTCTTAGTTTTCGGCGGACACAACATCTTTGTTTGTACATGGTGCTGAGGATGGAACCCGGGCTGCACGCATGTCCGGCGAGCGCACTACCACTTGAGCCACATCCCCAGCCCAGCTGTAAATTCTTTTAACTTTTGTTTATCATGGAAGAATTTTATTTTGTCATCAAATCTGAAGCTTAATTTTGCTTCAGATTCTTGGTTGGCACCCATTTTCTTTGGAGCTTGATATATGTTGTTCTAGGATCTACTAGCTTTGAGGGTCTGGGTTGAGAAATCTGCTGAGACCTGAATTGGTTTGCCCTTATATGTAATCTGAAACTTTTCTCTTGAGGCTTTTAAAATTCTATCCTTATTCTGTATGCTAGGCATTGTCATTGTAATGTGACTTGGTGTGGATCTGTTGTACTTTTGTGTATTTGATGTCCTGTAAACCTATTGTATTTGATTTTTCCAATTCATTCTTCATGTTTAGAGAATTTTCAGATATCATTTCAATTGAAGAGATTGTGGTGCATTCCTTTGGTTTATATCTCTGTGCCTTCCTCTATCCTGATAATTCCTAGATTTGGTCTTTTCATGTTATCCCATAATTCTTGGATGTTTTGTTCATGGTTTCTTACCATCTTCATTGTGTGGTCATCTTTATTTTCAAGATTACATATTTTGTCTACATTGCCGTAGGTTCTGTCTTCCAAGTGATATAATCTGTTGGTGATGTTTTTTATTGAATTTTTCTATTTATTTTTATTTATTGTTTCCTTCATTTCAAGGATTTCTGTTTTTTGTTGTTGCTGTTGTTGTTTGTTTGTTTGTTTAAAGGTACTAGGGATTTAACTCAGGGCATTCAACCACTGAGTCACATCCCCAGCCCTTTTTTGTATTTTATTTAGAGACAGGGTCTCCCTGAGCTCCTTAGCACCTCACATTGCTGAGGCTGGCTTTGAACTCTTGAACCTCATGCCTCAGCCTCCTGAGCCACTGAGATTACAGGCATGCACCACTGTGCCCAGCCCTATCTCTTTCTTGAAGTAATATTTGCTACCTGTATTTGCTCTCTTATCTCTTTGTTGGAGTGATCAATTATTGCCTGTAATTGTTCTCTTATATTATTCTATGCTTCACAGATCATTTTAACTATGTACGTTCTGAACTCCTCTGACGTTTCATCTACTGTGCTGTCCATGGATTCTCTTATTGTAGCATCTTGGTTTGTTTGGGGCATTTTCTTCCCTTGTTTTTTCATGTTGCTCATGTGTCTTCCTCTTTAGCTGTGTGGGTCTGAGGTATTACAGTTTCTACTCTATAATCTTGTAGTCCCTGAAGGTTATCAATGTCTCACCTCTGGTGTAACCAGGTCTGCAGGGACCTTGGTGATGGTCTTCCTGGTCCTGGCTATTCTGCCTGGACAGAAGCTGGCAGGACAGCCACACGTTGGTAGATGAGGCACTGTAGGGTGGTTGGTCTCCTTCTCCGCGAATCAGGCTGGGGTTGGTCTGCTCCGCCTCCTCTGCGAGTGGGGCCAGGGAGTGGTGACAGTTTGAAGCACTTGCAGATCTGGGCCTTCTGGTTGTGTCTCTAACTTGCTGACTCTCCTTGACCAGGCGGTCTCAACCGCAGCACTATTAACACTTTGGGCTGGACAATTCTTTCTAGTGTGAGGCCATCCTGTGCATTATAAGCACCCCTGCCTCTACCCACTGGATCCCTTATAGAACCCCCACCTGTCACAACCAAAAATGTCCTCTCAGACATTGCCAGATGTCACCGTGGTTGAGAACCACTGTTTTAGGTCTATTCAGGTCTGATCACTCCCCAGGCCTCTGAGTCCTCATCAACAGGCTGTGGTGGCCTGAGGAGAGATCTTTAAGTCCCCTCCAGATCTGACACTGCTAGCACAACCATCAAGGTATCCTGCCAGACCCTCACAGGCTGCTATAAGTAAGTCCATGTGCTTTTCCTAAAGAATGCTCTCATTTATACTGTCCCTTTACCTTACGATGTATCCCTGTCCAGTTACCAAATACCGTATTCCTAAGATGCCCCAAACACACATAAAATGGCTCTGATTTTTATCCAACTAAACTTCATCCACACGGCTGCATTGAATAGGGGAAAGCTTGGGAAATGATTTGGCTGAGATACCTGCTTCTCTTCCCTCCCACAGGAATTCTCACACTAAAGAAAGCCAACGAACTCCTGAGCACAGGCCTGCCCGGCACTTTTCTGATCCGAGTGAGCGAGAAGATGAAGGGCTATGCCTTGTCCTACCTGTCGGAGGAGGGCTGCAAACACTTCCTGATAGATGCCTCTGCCGACTCCTACAGCTTCCTGGGTGTGGACCAGCTGCAGCATGCCACCCTGGCAGATTTGGTGGAATATCACAAGGTGAAGCGATTCAGAAACTTAATTCGCCTTGTGAATTATCTTCCCGCAGCAGCTCTAACCAAGCAAGGCAATTACCAGGGGAAAAAATGATTGAGACAAGAAACGTGGGGATTAGTCTTTGATAATTCTCATTCTTAATTGCATTTCCTTTATCGTGGAACCAAGTTCCTCCTCAGATACTCGGGGAGACCCCCCTGGGCAGAGAATACAAGAGATGCTAACAAATTGTGCACATATCGATCATATCTCAAGAGTCTTAAGTCAGAATTCAAACCCTAAAGGGAAAGAGTGTGTAGATGAGAAAAATCTCTTTTAAGATCATCATAAACTAATGAAGCTTTGTACAAATCAAGGGCAGAGGGGTGGTGTCCCCTGAGGAGGTAGGAAGGGCATGTACTTCATAGCCCAGCTTAACTCTGTGTCTTTTGATTGACAGGAGGAGCCCATAACTTCCCTGGGGAAAGAACTGCTGCTCTACCCTTGTGGGCAGCAGGAACAGCCACCTGACTACCTGGAGCTCTTTGAGTGACACTGTCCATCTAGGTTATCCTACAGTCTCTGACTGGGCTTTCCTGAACAGACACACTGAAACAGACATTTGTGTGTGAAGCCAACCCCGCAGCAGAGCCAATACCGATCAATGGAACATGTCCCCAGAGTCCTTGTTGAAATCTCTCTTCTGCACAAATGCTGGAGTTTAATGTCAAGGGAAAAATATCTCTGCCTTATCTGCACTCTAAAAGGAACAGAAGATGACGTACCATGAAGGATATGATGTCCACGTCTGTCAGATGAAGTGAACAAAGAAGAAACTGAAACCTTTTAGGAATTAAGGTGTACTTCAAAAAACAGTAGCTCCTATGAACTATTTTGTGACATCTACATTCTCTCTTTGTATAATCTCAAAAGATCTCAGGGTCTTGTTTAATGAAGTTCCATCTTAGCTTTGGAATGCTGGCCAAAAAGTCCTTACTGATGGCTGAGAAGACAGTCAAAACACATCTCCTTACCATGCATGTTGGAGACTGAATGTAAGAGACAGAAAAATAGGAATTATGAGTGTAAATTGAATAGGAAAATTTAAAATGTAGGATGAGAGACTTAGCATGTATAAAATACATCTGGACTATAGGAAAGTGAGCAAATTTCTGTGAGTTTGTTTCTGTATTCTGGGGACAAGGGACAGCACTTGCTCTGCCTGCTTTGGCTCCGAGAGTGCACTAGAAAGAATGAAGCACAGTCACATCTAAGTTGTCATCTATTGATGGTGCACAGACAAGAACAGAACACGTGAGCTACTTGGATACTACTTGAGGATACTACTCCTTCTAGGTTAAAAGAGAAAAAATTCAAGACGTAAATTTTTACAGTTGCCACCTTCCATAAAGGACTCTTTCCTAATGAACTTGAGTTGGAACATTTGGCCTTCACACATAGCTATATTGGGGCTTCTGCCATTTGGTGCAGGGAAGACACAAAAATTATTTTGGGTTATGTTGGTATATATAGCCAGGGGTCTCTATACTTTCATTTTTGTCAAGTACACAGTAAATGCTTTCATTGCAGGCTGCAATGCACATGTCTTTCTTAGAACACAAGTTTTCCACAATTGTATCTTTTTTTACAATTGTATCTTTAAACAACACTTCTGTTTGAATTGTGTTGTTCTCTTCCTTAGGAGTAGCTATAAGTCTTACTTAGATTTCTCTTCTTTGCCTTCTGTTTTTGTGACTACTCCTCATTGTTTTTATCTGTCTCTTCTTTCTGGTGCGTTTTAGGGGAGCTGATTATCTGTCCTTTCTACGTGAGAGACTGATTTTTCTGCAGTGTTAATTCTGCTGTGTACTGCATCCAGTGTGGATGTTAGTACCAGGACTACATTTCCTGGTTCCTTGCTATCCTTCCCTCTCTCCCTATGCAGGGATCTTTAGACTTTATACCACTGCCCTAGATTGAGAACTATCAAGAGGCTGAAATGATCAAAGTATTCTCATTTTAATGTATGATATAACATTAGAGAGACCCCAGCAGAATTGGGTTTGGCTCCTGCCTATACCATTAACTAACTGTGTGGAATCTTAAAGCAGAAAATTTACTAAGTCTGGACTTCAGCTTCTTCATTTATAAAATAGATGTTACTAAAGCCACTAGGGTTCTGAGAATTAGAAAAAAAAATATGCTATGTGCCTGGCAGAGAGAAATTGCTGCATAAATGGCAGTTATTCCCAGTGAATTGTGGATTCAACAAAGCCAGCGTCCATGTGCTCCTGGCCTCCCCTACATTAGCTCAGTTTATACCACCAGTGGGCTCTGTATCCTACCATTTCCTGGAGTTTCTAGGGTGATATTAAAGGGGAGAGGGAAACTTAAAGTGTAAGGGATGTCCTGATGATCTATAGAAGACCTTAGCTAGTCGATCTGCAGAGAATGGCTCATGCAGTTTGCATCTGAAGTGGCAGGGAGGTGGGGGTGTTTTCTTTCTTTTTTAAAAATTTTGTACCAGAGATTGAACTCAGGGGCACTCGGCCACTGAGCCACCTCCCCAGCCCTCTTTTGTATTTTATTTAGAGACAGGGTCTCACTGAGTTGCTTAGTGCCTCACTTTTGCTGAGGCTGGCTTTGAACCTGTGATCCTCCTGTCTCAGCCTCCCCAGAGGCTGGGATTACAGGTGTGAGCTGCTGGCCCAGCAGAAGGGTCGTTTTCTAATGGTTTTTGACAAGGCCCAAGTTAGCAGGGACCAGTGTTCATCCCCAAATTGGCCATTAACAAACTGACTCAGTTGCCCAGGGATTCCTGATCACAAACCCCCGAGTGTCTGTCTTCTTTTTGAGCAGGAGGCATTACTTTGGGACTTATTCTTCCTGTCTTCCCACAGTTCAGGCAGTACCAGGGCTAAGTCTAGTGACCAGAAATGGGGCAAGCCCCATCACCTGTGTCTGTCAGAAACAGCTGCAGCTTTTCTTCAGTTGAAAGGACGTTCCTTTAGGTGGTCTTCCCCCCTCTTGAGTTAAGATCCCAGTAACGCTCCCCAGCTCTGAGCCTCAAGAACCAGGCAAAATGGCCAATGTCTTTTCTTTGGGGGGCTATCCTCATCATGTGGCCACAGGCCACTCCTACGATTGCTGACAGCCCCACATGCTAAGGGTGGAGTTTTACACAGTTCTGTTTGAGGCTTGTAACTAGAAGAAAGAAATAGTTGTTAAATAAAACTTTCCTTCAGTTTTTGGATTTGAGTGTCTTTCTGGATTTTTTCTTTTTATAATTTTAATTTTTAAAATCCTTTTCAAATAAGCTTTAACACCCTAGCAGGCAGATGATGTTTATTGTTGTTTTAAAACATGGCTGAAGGGTGGGTTTGTAAACTGCAGAAAGTCAGAGCCAAGGTGGAGGGAGCTTCTTGGAGTGTACTTACCTTTTTTTTTTTTTTGAGGTGTTGGGGATTGGACCCAGGGCCTTGTGTATGAGAGGCAAACACTCTACCAACTGAGCTATGTCCCCAGCCCCTGGAGTATACTTATCTTCTTTCAACCTAAAGTGTCTGGCTGCCAACTTGATGAGGAGTAAGGGCTACATTTAGTTCCCCCAATCACCCACACCAGGTGGAAGGACACTGGGTGAGCCCTGGGCAGAGGCCACTGTGGGCGGCCCGGGCCTCCCAGAATCTAGGCTGACAGCGAAGGAACACAGCCCGCTTCTCTCCCCAGAGTGTCCTCTGCCTTCCATGGCTGTGACTGTCCCCTGGCACCCTCCTTAACCCCTCCCCACGGTCCCTGTCTGCCTTCTTGTTAGAGTTGCCCATAAGCCAGAAACAGCCCAGGGGACCCTGGGTTTGATTCAAAGGCTCAGTAGAGCAAAGACATTTTGAAAGGCACCTCTGCCGACAGGAAGGAACATATTCTGTGTTGGAAAAAAAATACACACACACACACACACACACACACACACACACACCCCAAACCCCCAACCAACTGGCACAGTCCCCACAGTTTTTGGCAGGAACAGCAAAGCCCTAAGCCCTGCCAGGAGAAACAGCTTTGAATTAAAATATAAAGGTAATCAGAATATGGATCACACAAAGCTGCCAGGTATTTGATGTGTGCTGGGAATAAAACACACCTACCCCACTAAAGAGCAGCCCAAGGTCATTATCTCTAATCAGCACCTCTCAGAAACAGATCAAGTCTTTTTTTTAAAAAAAACAGAAGTATTCCCACCTGCTCTCCCCTCTGACTCAAGACCCTCTTCAAATTTCACCTCTTGGAATCCTGCATGAGTGCTTCAGTCCCAAGGGGAGCAGAGATTACTGCAGATAGATGGAGGTGCAGGGGGCTTGGCTACTCAACTGTCTGGACGGCAGATTAACAAGTTTCATTCCTCTCTAGGTTTCTCAGGTGGGGCTGAGGTGCAGGTAAAGGTGGGATGGGCTCTGGACTTGCCCCAGGCCAAAGCTCCTCCCCGTGGAGCTTCAAGCCCTTCTGGAGCTTGAGGTGGGACACCGACAGGGAGTCCTGGAGGCAGCTGGTTTGTGGTGGGGCCTCTGGGGAAATTCCTCCATGTTTCTGAGCCTCAGTTTTCTGCCCCTGGAAAATGGAAGTCATGATCTCCCTTACCTTAGAAAGTTGGTATGATGAACAGAAGGTTCCTGGCTGAGCTGCTTGTTTCAGAAACACCAAATGCATCCAAACTGCCCGGGGGGGAACATCAGCTCCAAATCACCCCATGTGGAAGTCGAGGTAGAAAGGATCCATTATATTTTACATTTACATTAACTTTTCTTCACACACATGGATACAGTTTTCACAATGACAAAAACAAAGGACCACAGCATACATGATGTTCTCATCATCCCCAAGGCATGGCCTGTAATGTCTTATTACATCCAAGAAGTGCTGGGCATCGCGAAAAGCTTAGCAGACACTTGCCAGATACGCAGTTGTAAATAAGGGGTGTGTGTTGAGTACGAGACCTAAATACCTGCTGTGTGCCTAACACGTCCTACTGCTTCATCCCTAAGGACTCACCAAACTTTACAAATGGACGACACACCCCGAACGAGGAAACAGATACGGGAGACTTTGAGTGACTCGCTTAAGATCATGTAAGTTGCAAGTGGAAGAGCTGGTCTTTGAATCCTGGTTATCTAGCTGGAGAAGCCACGATATTAGCTACCACACTGCACTGAATCCTGGTAAGAGTAGATAAAATTAGATAACAGAGGATTTTTCCTGAAACAAAAATTAGTAGTTAGGTTACGTGCAGCTAGGTGCAAGTCCTTCATCTCTGACATATGGAAACAGTAAAGTTGACCACATTTGTGAATACAAGGGGGCAGGGATGGAAAGTAGAAGGTTGGAGGGAAAACAGCACAAGGAGGTCCAGGTGTCACCCAAAGGCAGTGGTGTTGGTAAATACTTAACAACTGGCTGAGACTGTCATGGAGGGAGGAGCTGAGAAGAGGTACCTACTGGCTCTCTCACGTGGTGCATGGGTACTGTTGCTTGGAGGAGACCCCCCAGCTCAGCGACATGCAGGGCTGGTTACCAGGCAATTGACAGGAAGCAGGAACAGTGGAGATGCAGAGTTGAAAGGGGCCTTCCACCCAGTGCCTCCTGGTTCTGCAGGCCAGTTTCTTGACTGCTTTCCTTTGTTGTGTAAGTTTAAATTCCTGTCTCCTGCTCATGCTCCAATGGGCCCTTTTCCAGCCTTCTTGATCCATGCCTTAGGCAGTCCAGGCGGATAGATCATGTACACAGATTCTTTGGTGGGCCTCTCTTCTTTTATAAAACCGCACTACCTAGCTAAGCTTTAAAAATTGAATATATTTTCTCTTCAGCCATCCTCAGAAACTTTAAAAGCCTAATTCATGAACACTGTCCTGGGCGTCTGCAACACACAGTGTAGTCAAGGATGAAAGTTTGTTTAGCCCACAGAGTGCAGCCTAGTCTGCACCACCCGAGGCACTTAAACTTGCTTAATTCCATGACCAAGTATTTGATCACCATCTTTGCTGGAAATGTAACCTCCTGCCCCTGGGAGAATATGGTCAAGAGGATACAGGTCCATCAGCACCCATCTGGCAGGACCACTGCTGAGACAGGTCAGATGTGTGTGCCCTGAAGTCTCTGGAATCACCACAGTGTGTGAAAATACTCAGGGTGGAAAGGGGCCTTGGAAATAAACTCAAAAGGGCAAGTAAAACATATACAGAATCCAGGCTTTTCAATATATCCTCTTCTCTCTCTAGTCTGGTGGTTCTCAATCAGGGGTGATTCCCAGGGGACATTTGACAATGATTGGAGACACTCTGATTGTCTAAACTGGATGGGAGATATTGGTGGCATCTAGTGGGTAGAATCAGGTAGGGACACTGCCTAATATCCTACAATGCACAAAACCTCCTCCCAACCCAGAAAAGAGTTATGCAGCCCAAAATATCAGCAGTACCAAGGTTGAGAAGCCCTGATCTACATGTACAATGTTTCCCCCAAACAAGATATGGTATTTTTACTCCAAGAAAAAAAAATCAAATCCACAAGTTGTGTTTTATTAGCTGTTCAATGCCACCTTCCATTCATATCTTGTGTTTTAATGAAATTTTATGAACTACCAGTACAAATCAATACAATTTTTTTAACACACTAACAGCTTGAATGTTCTTGAAGCCTTTAAACAATGAGTTTACTGTGGGCAAACAGAAGGCAAGGAATCAGAGAGATAATTAGCTCATGCATCTGGTGCTGGCTAATAAATAAATAATTCTCACATGGATGTAGAAACCACTCAATGTTAACTGTATTTATTTTTAAAAAATAGCTTGAAACTGTAATCAAATGCAATTTTCAGAAGCATCTTGGTGATTGGGTAGAACTGCTTAATTTTAAAAATAATTAAGTGACTTCCACCTAGCCTGGGGTGAGTGAACATGTAGCAAAAACGTCCATCTCGCTGGGTTCTGGCAGATGGATTGATCTTTCACAAAATATATATTTCTGTATTTCTTCTTATGGAATCCAGAAACCAGGAAAAGCACCCTGCTTTGAAAAGAGATTGTTTAGTTCATAACTTTGGTTTATTGAAACAGGTAAGAAAGTGGTCCCCATTTCCCCTGAGGAGGAAATGTGTCCTCTGACTTTTAGATATCCCAAGATATCATGAGTCTGAGTGAGTTTCCTTTTCCATTATGGTGAAAGTGTCCTTCAGTTTTCCTCCAGTGTTCAGTTGCTCCTCTTAGGATATACTCTTCAGATAAAATTTATGCCTCTTTCTCTCAGTAGCCCCAGACCAGGCCTTCCCAATGTCTCAAGGCCTGCCACCCCGTGCCCGACAGGACCCGCATCTGAAGTCCCGGATGTGTTGTCAATCTCTGAACTGAAAAGTTCTCCTAATGCATCTCAAAATATCTTCTCGAAAATGTAACATATGCTACTTTGTGCTTCCTTAGTAAGGCTTGCAAGTCGGTAATTAAATTAGCAGAGTATAACTTGCAAGCAAAAAAAAAAAAAGTGCATTTGTAAATAAAATAAACAGAGATGGTTAAAAGGACATCCAAAAGACAAGCAGATTATTTGGGGTTAATCTTCAGGGGAAATGATATGATATTTATGGTTTCTCCTCTGGTTCTTTTGATCTTGCTCACTGTTCTCATAAGGGAGAGCAGAGACCCACATTTCACAAGGTCTCCTCTGCTGCCTTCCAATACTCCAGCCTCCCTAGAAACTAGAGCCTGACTTGTGTAATCATTCATACGAGGAGAAATGTGCCTTTCATTCTAATAAACTTTTTACAAAAGTGGGCTTAATTCATGAATATTTCAATGAGCAGAGAAAACAAAAGATCTCATTTTGTTGTAAACATCATCAGAACCTCCACACCAGCAGGCTTATCTTCTCATAACCATTCTGCCTTTGTCAGACACTTCTCAGGGTGCATCTGGGCTACATTTGCAGGCAAAGTAGTGATTGGAATTCCTGTTGCATAAAGCCAAATAGAGAGAAATTGGAGGCTTTCTCTCCTCCGGTCTCTTTTGCTCATCAGATTCTTTCTTTCATCCTTTATGGAAGTCTCTTCCTTGTGCAGCCACTCTTTGGGGGAATTGCAAAAGGAGAAAAGAAAACGTCTCCCACCATCCATCCCTGGAGTTCATGTCTTCTTGCTGCTTGTCTTCTGTTTGCGAAGGTGAGCCTCTATCTCATGCCGGAAGACCAGCATCCCCAGCTGCCCGTGCGACG